ATAGACAAGAATGTAATCTTAATGGTTGGCCATGGAATTTAAGCTGGCTAAGGAGAAAAGCGAGGATTTTAGGTGGTTTTGAGGGACAGAGGGGAGGTGGTAGCACCTGTCATTTGGAGTTCCCAGTGGGATCCAAGAACTACTGGAGGTGGTATACTTGAGGGAGTGAGAAAGCAAGGTAGGAGGTGGTAGTCGTACTGTGAGGTGTTTGATACTGAGATAATGGGGTATTCTGTTATTGGCAATGACAGTGCCCAGACTACAAAGACTCCAAGTGATCCCAGGATCCTGGGTGCAGACCTGCTCCACTCCTCAGCCATGCTGTGGAGGCATCCCCCATAAAAAGTAGAGGAAGACTGGCACAGATGTTACCTCATGGCCAAACTTCCTCACCAAAAAAAAAAAAAGTGGGCTTATGTTTTATATGTATTTTTATCTCATTTTTCTAGTATTGTATTTTATTGTATTTTTAAGGAATGTTGGTCTGCAATAGAAAGTGAAAATTTTTTAAAAAATAGATTTGGCACCATGAATAGCTAAGGTATTTGAACTAACCTATCACAGGAGGCATTTAATGGTCCATTCAAGAAAATCTTCAAGAAGAAGCTGGGTGCAGTTTGCCATTCACAGTGGGAGAACAAATGGGGATCTGGACTAGGGTACCTGGCTCTCTCCACACTGAGATAAGAGCATGTCCCTTAATTTCCTTGACCTTTGACCTCCTCAGCTGTAAAAGAGAAATGATACCACTTTTACCTGCCCCATAGAGTTGAGACTCAAATGACACAACCCATGGGAAGGATCTCTGGAAATAGATCATAGTCTATATACAAGGAGGTTTGGGGTTTGTTGTTGCCATTGTTACACATGGAGAAATTATTCCTGCATGGGAGATAACTTGGATGAATTCTGATTACAAATGTCACATGTAGATAAGTGCCAGAGTGGTCATGTCACAATCCTTTTGGAGAGTACACTTTAAAAATTAATTAATTAAATTTAAAATATATATATATATTGATCCCTGGGCTCCAGCTCCAGAGGTTCTGACTGAGTAGGTCTAACACACAGCCTACAAGTCTGTGTTTTCAACAAGCTCCCCAGGTTATTCTGATACACAGCCAGATTTGAGAAATGCTAAAGTCAGTTATTTTTAAAATCTCTTCCTCTCATTTTGTGATCAAATGTTAATAACAAATGATTATTTTTTCCAGATATGTGGCACCCTTTTAGAAAGATTTAAACTTTGAAACGAGAGTATAATTTTAGGTGTCAGCCAGCCTGTGGGTGATATAGGTGAACAAAAGTTGTTCGTCATGATCTGCTCTGACTATTTGTAAATTCAACTCAGCAGGAAAGGCCTTCAGAGTAGCATGAAAATGTCATGGATGTTTACTCTTCACTTATCTGAAGTCTGTCAGTGTGTGCGTGTGTAATTCAACTGGAATATAGCATACATACAATAAAGTGTATAAGGTGGAAATCTTAAGTGAACAATTCCATGAATTTTTATGTATATATACAACACACAAAATCACCATCCAGATCAAGATAGAGATAATTTCTAACACCTCATAAGCCTCCCTATGCTCCTTCCTTCCCTGTTGTCGAATCCATATCCAATCTATAAATCAAAATTGGGGTGAGTTTATTTTGAGCCAAAACGTGAGGACCATATAGCCCAGGAGAGTCCTTCCACAGAGGAATGGAGCACTCCAAAGAAGTGGGGGTGTACAGAATGATTATATACCAGCAAAGAGCATGTATCACACATGATTGAAATGTCCCTTTTACAATAGTCACAAGATTGCCCAACCTGCACAGCGACTGATGGACACAGCAGGAAGTAGGTCTGCTGTCTCGGTGGGCACAGCAGGAAGCAAGTCTCTCATCTGGAGGAGGGTGGTCACCGGTGAGCTGGGTGGTCACAGGTGAGCTCAGCATTCAATTCCTAGTCCAGCGGAGATGCTTATCCTTAAGGAAATGCTAATGTGGGGGAAGTTGCACTTTTATCTTAAGGGCATTTGTTCTTGCCTTTGGGACATACGAAATGCTTAAAGTAGGTATACAATGCATGCTCAATTGCCACATCAGACCCTTTTGGGAAAAAAAAATAAGGTTAGGCCAAATCAGCTTTACACCAAATGGCTTCCTCATATACTCCAATATAACCGATTGCTTGTCATTTTATCACAGTGTAAAGCCACCCACTAACCACTCTTCTACCTTTTGTCACCATCTATGAGTTTTGCCTGTTCTTGAACTTCATATAAATGGAATCACATAGCACGAGCTCTTTTGTGTCTGGCTTCCTTCACTCAACAAAATGCCTATGAAATTCATCCATGTTGGTGTATGTACCAGTAGCATGGTCTTTTTTTATTGCTGGTCCTTCAGTTTTTAGCAAGAGCTCTAGATGGTCAAGTTCAGATTGCCAATGTGTAGATTAGATGATTATAAAAATACAGAGACAGAATAACAAGTCAAAGATGGGAAATTCCAAAGATGTTGATGCTCAACCAGGGTAAACCTTGCCGTGAAAAAAGGAGTCCTTCAAGTTCAATGCCCAGCAGAATCTACAGGAGTGAATCAGAAGGCACACTCCACACCGCTACCATCTGCAGGAGACCTACATTTTTGTCCAAACAGTCTTCATGGATTGTGCATATGCTAATGATTGAGGACCATTGCTGTGAACTTTAGAAAGAATGTGGATAAGGGGTTTTCATTAATGGAGTTGTCCACAGGCTGCTTAACAAAAGCTAAGGCTTTGAAATTTGACTTCAGGAATTATCTCCTAGAAGGTCTGAGTTTTATGTAACAGATTAACTCACCTCTTTTTTTCCTGTTTCAGTGAAATCCATGTGCCCCGGGGTAAAGACTTTTTTGCATATGGCTGAATAAAGCATTTTCAACCAGAAAAGAATAAAGCAAAAAGATGGGCCAAACAAGAACAGTGCTGATTTCTTTTCAAGCACAATGTCAAAGCCGATTATCAAAGCCACTCTCAGGGGTTCCAGGGAAGACAGACTTCAACAAAGGCATAGGAGCTATTCCGTATACTCTGTGGTCTGCTGTGCAGTCAACCACAAATGTACACAAATACACCCACAGCAAAACTCACTGGGCTCTACTGAACACTGAACAACAAATGAATAGTAGTTTAAAATACTCTGTTTGAAACCCCTTTGTGAAAAACCATGGCTGCCCTTCCCTGGGTTAGTCTGAATTTATTTGCTCACACAATTTTCATGTGCTAAATTCCAATCAATAAACAAAAGAATCAATCAACACGTTGTTATGTTGACAATCGATTTTTGTGGGTTTCCAAATACTGCCCCTTAGCTTTGTAGCCCATCTCACCGTATCCGTGGTCTTCTGAGGTATGGATGGGCACGGGAAAACAATTATGCAGAAGTCACAGGTACATAGACCCTCCAAAAAGTTCCACTTGGGGAGTGTTTTATTAGTACTTTTAATGGCACTGACAACTAACATTGGTAACTATGACTCACAAAGCTCTTTGCCTAATGGATTTTATTTGATCCTCAGCAGAATCCTGTGAGATAGAAAATGCTATACCCATTTCTCAGATGAAGAAACTGGTTTAAGTACTTTCATTGCCTGATGTTTCTCAGTAAGTAGGTATAATATCCAGTATTCAAATTCATGATTTTTAGCTTCAAATAATATGTTGCTTTATTTTCCTATAACGAAAAAGTCTAATTCATAGAAACAGAAAGTAGAAAAGTGGGAGTCAGGGGCTAGATGGTGGGAGAACAGGGAGAGGTTGGTAAAAAGGTACAAACTTTCAGTTATGAGATGAATAAGTTCTTAGGATCTAAGATAAAACAAGGTGACTATAGCTGATCATGCTAGTGTATAATTGAAATTTGCCAAGAAAGTAGAACTTAAATATTCTCACCAAAAAGGATAAATATGTGAGGTGATAGATGTGTTAATTAACTAAATGGGGGTAATTCTTTCACAATATTCATGTATATCAAATCGCCATGATGTGTATTTCAAATATCTTACTCTTTTATATGTAAACTATACCTCAATAAAACAATTTTAAAAAATGGCAGAAGAGGAAAGGGAAATAATTTTTTAAGAAAAGAATAATTTTCAAAGCCTGAGAGGACAGTAATTTTGCTTCATTCTCATATTAATATCAAAATCCCATTTGCAGGAGTCCCACATTCCACTCAAACATTCAGTGTAGACAGGTGCGCCCTGACCTAGATGTTAGGAATCTAGATATCAAATCCGGCTCTACCAAGAATCCATATGTGGTTTTAAATCATGCTTTAACCTCTCAGGCTCTATTGATCATTGGTAAATAAGCTTATTGTCCCTGCATCATCTTTAAGGGTCTTCTCAGTTTAAGTTCTATTTCTTTAGGGTGACTGAGAGAACATCTACAATCAGAAATGTTAAGATGCTGTAGTAAATACTTTTGGTGCATTGTACCCATCGCCTCAGCCCTCCTGATTTCTACACAACTTGGGGTATGAGGGAGGCAGTGAACAATAGCATCTCAGCTATGAGACACTGCCAAACTGCAAACCCCAAAGCACAGGGCATAGCACTCTTGGGGATGGCCCTCAACCAGAGGGGGAAGATGCCACTGGATAAATATTCCTGGCTCTCCATCCACCTGTGAGACAAGCCTGGGGCAATTTCCACAGGTTTCTTCAGAATCTCAGTGGGATGGAGCCCATTGTCCACAGCAGTAACCAGCTCATGAACAAACGCTTATTGGCTTTCCTCCCTTCCCCCCTCAATTCCCCCCCTTCCCTACTTGCACCTCCTAGGCTCACTTCCAAATAAACCACTTGTACTGATAGCCTTGTCTGAGACTCTTTTTGGAGAACCCAGACCAAGACTTAGACTTTTGACAAGTGTTAACATTTGAATGCAGATTTGGGTGGTACACAGCATATTAACAATTAATGTATATGTAGTTAACCCCTTTAAGCCATTTCTTAACAACTTACTGTGATATTTTCCAAATCTGTAGCTCAGTATGTGTACCTGCAAAGAGAGATGAGGCTGTGAAAATAGGGTATGATGTGGCCTTTCTAAATAGGAGAATCTCCATGAAGCTTTATTTTTTTTAAATAGAGACTATTGGACACATACCCTTTGCATTTTATAAAATTATAATTCTTCATTTTGCATTCTAAATCATATCTATGTCTTAATCGGTTTGAGGATAAGAAGTTAAGGCAAAAATCTCCACTAAATGTCTCATTAGGTAATTTTCATTTGGAAGCTGATCACAATTTTCCTACCTTGTTAGTCAAGATCATTTTGGTTGTGAATTACAGAAACCCTCATCTGAAGTTCTAAGGTGACCAACTATCCTGATTTTTCTGGAACTATACTGGTTTTAGCCCTGAAAATCCCACTTCCTGAGAAACCCCTTAGTCATGGGCAAACCAGGACAGTTGGTCGCCCTACCAAGTCCCATCCATATTTCTCTGTACATTTAACACCACTCTGTTTAGCTTATCTTAGGTAGTACGCTCAACCTTCCCAGGGATTTCAGGTCTTACAATTGCCCATCTCCTCTGAAACCACTTGGTGGGAATCCAGGGGAAGAAGAGTAACCCAAAAGAGGAGGAGGGTACTGAGTTTCCCAAAAGAAGTGCAGCAGGCGGAGGCTTGTATGGATATTTATGTATTTAGGATATCCACTCTACTCTTTAAGGAATCTTTCTCTCTCCCTCTTCAGACCTCTTCATCAGTAGGATTAGTGCTCCTCTTTTTTCCTTTACCTCTTATGTAGGTTTTTCTTTCTCACTTCATATTCCAGCCCCGACCCTCTCATTTTCTCAGCACTCCAAGGGGCTCACACTTCCCTCCACCATCTGCACCACCAGATCCAAATAAAAATGTGCTCCAAGAAACATGTTATTCTGATAAAGGAGTGTATAGATGTATTACAAACCAAACATAAAAATATGTTTAGAAATTTAAAATGCCTATCTTCTTTCCTTTGGCTCATTGTTTTGATTAATGTCTTTTGCTCTAAAAATTTTAAATGCTCTTCTCTGATTCAAGTAAAACTTTTTGTTTAGGTATCCATGGCAAGGAAGTAGGCATTGTGAATTGTCACTAGGGCCCTCTTTAGGGTCTATAGTAGTAACTCACCACAACCTTAAAATCCTCCCAGAAATATTGTTGAAGTTACTAACTACTGAACTTGAGTTTTAATTCCTGTGTTTAAGGTGAAAGCGGCAAAGGACATAGAAACCCTAAAGGATTGTCTTGACCAAGAAGGCCTTCATGTTCCCCTCAGCTTGATGGAACCTCAGACAGGCTTCTTCCTGACTCTAGTCCGCTGATCTCCCTCTTCTCAGAGCACTGACTTTACAAAATGCGGAATTGTCAATCCCTTCTCTACCCTATAATATGTAAATCTTTTTTTTTTTTTTCTTAAGCCTCTTGTCAATTTTCCAACCCAGGCATGTCTTTCTCAAGGACCTGGGAACCATCTCTGAAATGTAATCATCTAGGAGGGCAGTGCTTCTATCTCCCACTTTCTGTGTAAGAGCAGAAGCCTAACTTCCCAGTTGTGAAACTACTTTCAGTCACGAAGACATGAGAAAGTTGACTTTTCCTTTGGATAAAGCCAATTAGCAACCAACCACAGAAGGCCTTTGACCTCCCCCTAACAATAGATCTTAAAAATCCTGTGTCTTTTGTTTCAGCAGAGTTGTGTTCAGACTCAGTTCTGGCCTCTCTCCTATTGCAATAGCCTTGAATAAAGTCTTCCTTGCATTTTTGACTTTCTCCAGGGTCATTCTTGCTTTGACGGTCTACAAAGATGGCACCAGTTACTAAAGGAATTATAATTGTTATAAAGGATAGTTTAAGGCAAACTGACGTATTTGAGGAAGTCTGTTTCTAGGACACTTCATCATCCTACCTCTCCCCATCTCCTTGAGTACACATACAGAAACATACTCACTTCACCAAATCTCTAAACTTGACCTGATGATAACTAACATTGATAAGAAGGAAGCTTAACACGTGCCAAGCACTGATCTAAACACTTTACACTAATTAAGTGACTGAATCCTCAAACAACCCTGTGATGTAGGTGATATTTTTATCCCAATTTTTTACATGAGGCAACTGAGGCACAGAAAGGTTAAACACCATGTCCAAGATCACATGGCTAGAAAAGTTCAGAGATGGGATTTGAATCTAGGCAGTTCTAGTTTCAGAGTCCTTTGTTTACAGTTTTGAGTATATACACCAATTATGGATATTGCTGGCACTAATAGTCCCAATTTCTCACACTTCCTTCTATCCACACCCTTTGGTAGTGCCTTTCCACCCTGACTCTAGGCTTGACCCTGTGACTTGCATTACTCAATGAGAATAGCAAATTTGATGCAAGGAGAGAGTTAAAAAGTGATTGTACATTTTAACATTCTCTCTTGTGACCCTTACTACCAACATGAGAATAATCCCAGGCTACTATACTGGAAAATTTGAAAAACAGAGATCAGAGACAATTTGCTCCAACTGAGTTCATCCAATTGACCCATTAGGTGAATGCAGACGTACAAGAAAGTCCAATCGAGATCAGCCAAGCCCGAACCATGTCAGAAAAACACTTCTGAGCAACCCAGAGACCTGTGAGAAATAATACACAGTTGTTGTTTTAAGCCTCTAAGTTTCAGGTTTCTTTGTTACACAGCAACAGCTTATTGATTCAACCACTTCACTTAAAATGCAAAAACTTCAAAAATTTGGTGTCAACATCTTGTCCCTCTTCTAGATTTTATCCCAAGAGGACTCTCATATCCTGTCTTTGACTCTGTCTTATCTCAGACCATTCCTCATTCTATGGTACACCCTCACTCTAGCATCTTATCAAAATTCTGATCAATCCTTCAAGGTTTCAGAACACTACCATCTCTTCTTTTTTTTTCTTTTGAGGAAGATTAGCCCTGAGCTAACTACTGCCAGTCTTCCTCTTTTTTTGCTGAGGAAGACTGGCCCTGAGCTAACATCTGTTCCCATCTTCCTCTACTTTATATGTGGGACACCTACCACAGCATGGCATACCAAGTGGTGCCATGTCCATACCCAGGATCTGAAATGGCAAACCCCAGACCGCTGAGAAGCAGAACGTGTGAACTTAACCACTGCACCACTGAGCCAGCCCCAACTACCATCTCTTCTATGAAGACATCCATGATCAATGCAACCAGAAGTATTCTATTACTGCTCCTAGTTCCAACAGCATCTCTTGTGTTGACCTCAATTGTTCATGTCCTCGCTCTCCTGCTCTGATGCAAGAGAGCACCTTAGAACAGAGCCATATGTTATCTATCTTTGGATTACCTACTGTGTCAGCCCAGCACTTTACCATGGCTCAAAATCACTTGATGAAGTTTGATCAAGGGCTTTACATATTAGTCAGGATAGGCTAACTACTTTAGCAAATAATCCCTAAATTTCAGTCACTGACCAAAATAAATGTTTATTTCTTGCTCATGTTATAGTCCAAAGGGGGATGATTGGTAGTCGAGCTAGGAAGGACTTGCTCCATACAGTCACCCAGTGATTCAAGATCCTTCCATTTTGTTGGTCTACCTCTTTCCATTTACTTTCAGTCCTCCCCACATGGCCAGAAGATATAAAAAGGGAACACAGATGGCCATCTGGGTGTGGGCATTTTTTTTCTTTTTTGGTAAGGAAGATTGTCACTGAGCTAACACCAATACCAATCTTCCTCTATTTTGTTGTGGGACACCGCCACAACATGGCTTGATGAGCGGTGTGTAGGTCATCGCCAAGGATCCAAACCGGCAAATCCTGGGCTGCCGGAGCACAGCATGTGAACTTAACCACTATGCCATGGGGCCAGCCCACGTGGGTATTTTTTATGGGGCAGGCTTGGAAGTGATGCTTCTAGTTACATCACCCCTATTTACACATTAGGACTCAGTCACATGCCATACCCAACTGCAAGGGAAGTTAGAAAATTTAAAATCTCAGTGATTAAAAAGTCTTTTGTCTTGTTGTTCCAAATGAGGGTTTAAATATAATGCCTCTCCAAATTTGCAGATGTGGAAGAGAAAGTGGACTGTATTTGGAGTCAGGAAAAAAATACTCTAGTGTGACTTTCTAACTAATGATATGGGCATGGTGATTTCCTTGGTTATGGTTTCTTCATCTGCAAATCAGATGGATAGGGTAGGTGCTGGGTTGGGCAATTTCTAAGGTTCTTACTAATTTCTGTTCTGCTCTCCTATAATTCTATGGGCCTTTCATCTCTGCCTATGTTGCTGTCATTGCTTAACGGACTACTTTTTGCCTGGAGATTTTAATGTTTTTCAATTCAAGAGTTTCAATGTCTTTGAGTCATTGTCATTCTAATGACAATTATGGTATTACCACATGTAGCAAACACTCCTGTGCTCTCCCATGTTCTGTACACCCATCCTCCAGCCTCTTCTTGCTTTGCCGGTAATGACTGGGTCCTGCATCCTTTTTCAGAGGTCCACCATTGGGCTATTGGAGTTGCTTCACCCATATTAACAGGGAACTGGAAGTTTATATCCCTGGGGCAGCTTATAGCCGATGACCTACTAGTGTGAGAGTAGGAACCCCAGATTGCTTGCTTTATGTAAAACATCTTCTGAGATGTAATTTATGCTCCAGAGCTCCCCCATGGGATTAGGCTGAGACTGGGATGTTACCTGAAAGTGCACCCTTGATTGACTTCTTTCCCTTCTCTGTCCTTCTTTATCCACCCAGTTTCTCCTGGGAGTATTTCCTTAATAAACCGTTTGCACCAGAATCCTTGTCTCAGGGTCTGCGCCTGTGAACATTGTCCGAAGACACCACCTTCACTAATGATTTCAATGTCTTGTCAAACACCTAAAGGAGATGAGTCAGGTCCCTTGGGATCCTGCTCGCTTTTCCACCCTTATCTCTTCCCTCTCTTCCCAGCTTACTGAATGGTCCATCCTGAGCTAATTGCTATTTGCTCATGTTGCTATACTTCCACATATGCTCTTCTCATTGCTTCCATCCACTTATCCTTTAAGATTCATCTAAAATGTTACCAATGTTCGACAGCCTTGACAAACTCTCTTTCTTCCCTCCAACTCTAAGCAGAGTTTCTCACTTCTTTTGTAAAAATAATAACTGACTCTAGCATAGCTCTTGAAAAATAAACAAATAGTATGATGGTTAGGAGCCTAGCCTCAGCAGAGGAGCTCATGGGCAAGTTATTTAACCTCTGTGGACTCCTGTTTATTCACCTGTGAGGATGGTAAGATCCCACCTTCTTCATAAATGACTGTAGGGTGATTAGCAGGGTAGTGGGAACATGTTAGATGCTAGTTTTATAAATATTTATGAGAGAACTATATTGCTTTCTCTGTAACCTAGCTAGATCTCAAAGCTGTAAATACTAAATCTTGTTAATCTCTGTCTCCTGATGTAGAGCACAGTGTCTGGCATGGTAGATATCCAATAAACAGTTGATGAATAAATGAATGATCTGTAGGCATTGAGTACTAAGTCCGGTTCATACTCTTTTTTCTATTTTAGCAAATAACTCTTCTACACACACAACCAGGAAACAAACTCTAGAAATCTACTTCAGTACTTAAAAAGTAGAAAGCAAAAGTAAACATTCTGGAATTCATCATATTTTTTATTCTATCCAATACCTATGTTGCTTTCACTCTCAAGCTAGTGAAAGTTTCCCTTTTTCTATTTGAAAAGATGGTCAAACGTGTATAAGGACAAGATCTTCTTTAAACCTTTTAGTAAATCTGTGTTTTCTCTCCCCTGTCTCCCCTCTCTCCTCCCTCTCTCCCTCCATGTTTCAGAAGTCTAGAGATTAAATGTCAGTTTATATTTTTTCCTCTTTCTCCCTTTTCTTTCTTGATGACTTTGAAAACCTGTGACCCTGAAAACCATCACTCAAAATGAAATTCTTCATTTTCAAGAGATGCTAGAAAAAGCCTTCTTTGATAGATGAATGTCATCAAAATTACTCTTCCCTGGAATTTTTTCTCCAGAGATTTTTGATGAGAACTTTTCATTTAGTGAGTCATTTTCTAAAATTCTTGGAAGTTTTCTAGAAAAAAGCCCTTGGATTCTCAAAGTCTTTGTGAAAAGTTGCCAGTGACAAAAATTATTAGAAAAGTGATTTTGGCATATAAAGAGATTAACTCAAGAAATTATAGCCCTGTTTGTCCCTGCTTAACTTGTAGAATTATTTAATAATATCTGCAATGATGTTGATAATGATTTCAATACCTGCCAGCTTTTCCACCAGTGGTTGTTGTAGCTGAATATAATTTTTTTCTCTTCTTAATAGTGAGTCTGGGTATGATAGGAGCTTTAACGTATTTGCTGAATGAATGAAAATGGCCAGGATGTGCCTGTGTGAAAATAAATCAGTGAAATCCTCTGGACAATACATCTTCACAGTTACAAGATAACATGTATATTCATTGACTCGTACAAACATATTGATAATATTAACGACCAAAACCATTGAGTTGCCCCACTCCAGATGCATACAATTTATTTTTCCAAAGGACCTAAAACCTGTAACCAGTTTTCTCCACATATCCACATCCTCATAAAATCAATATAAAGAAGAGAGAGCACAGGTACTGTAACACAAAACACATTTAAACCCAACTCATAGCCACAGTTCTCCCCTGACTGATGGAACGAAACCAGCTTTGATGACAATACCCAACACAAATGAGTGGAAACTTCATCCTTCAGTTGGATCCTTAGGGAAACGTATTCATTTCTCATCTTCTCAATTCCTAATTAGAATCTCTTACCCAGTCACTCTGCCACCAGAATTCTGTGTCTGATTCAGTATTAGGAGTCTAGTTGTGCTTTCAATATCCACATATTAATTTCCTCTGGGCACTTGGCTGATATTACAGAGAAATTTCCCTGCTAGTTCCTGCCCCCGTCGAGCCTGAAGTCAATTTTATGACAATCCCAAACCACTTTTCCATCTATGGTTCCTTGACTCTATTCATTGGGGTAGCAGTAAAATTAGTCTTAAGGAAAAGATATTTTGCTTAGCTTGACTATTCTACTTCTAGGTGGTTTGAATGTTTAAGTGAAAGGGAGATTCAGAGCAACTCAAGGTTAGGTAAGATTTGGCACACATCTTACTTTCACACACTGAACAGACTTCCTCATTGTATAAAGGTTAGTTTTATGAATTCTCCAGTAGAAAATACCTATGTTTTACCAACCAATTTAAAGAATTGGCAACTATTCAAAGATATTGTTAAAACCAAAGATGTGAAGTCATTGATCGCACTTGTAACTTTCCTCTATAGATTCAGAGACAGAACAGAGTGTTAATTTCCTTTAAAATGTGTCTTGGGGGCTAGCCTGGTGGTGTAGTGGTTAAGTTTGCACACTCTGCTTTGGGGGCCTGGGGTTCACAGGCTTGGATCCCAGGCACAGACCTAGCTCCACTTGTCAAACATGATGTGGTGGCATCCTACATAAAATAGAGGAAGATTGGCACAGATGTTACCTCAGTGACAATCTTCCTCACACACACACACACACACAAAAATGTGCCTTAAGTCAGGTTCCCAAGAAGCAGAGCCTGAGACAAGGGTTCTTACACATGTGAGTTATTGAGTGAGGGCTCTCTGAAGAAAAGGAATGAGGGAAGAAAGACAGGGTAGGGGAAGGAGTGAAGCAATGAGGTGGTCTTAACTGGGTCTAGCCTCAGTTGGATCCCACATAAAGCTTTGGAACATGCATGGTACCATAGAGTTGGTTCACTTTGAGGCAAGAGGGCCAGTTTTTTTCTTTCCCTTTTTAGACAGTCAGTAGCTGTGGGCTACCTCCAGGAGGAGGGCATAGAACCTTCTAGGCATTTCTGGGTGATGTTGCTTTCATGGGTTGAAGAAAATTCTCTGAAGAAGAGGGCAGCTG